CTCAGCAGTCTCTGTTTTTGTTTTTGAGGGTCTGACCTTGTATTCCCCATTAGGGCAATTCCTGGGCATCGTCTCCTCAGGCCCTTGGACTCGGGCAGCAAAGGGCTGGATGGTGACGCCCCTTGTAGATCTCACATCCTCCAGGCAAAAACACATCAGTTGCTTTCAGGTTCCCTGGGGAATGTTCCATTGCCACCTCACAGAGCCCGTGGAGGAGGAAGAAAGAATGTGGTGCCGGATAAGGCAGCACTGAAGTGTGCGGGCAGGAAATCTGAATCAGACCCCACATCTAACGAGCCTATTCTTAGAGGCTCTTGACAGAGCAAGGGAAATCGAATGCTAATGAAAAGCAGGTTCTCAGAATAGTTTAAAACTCGGCAGCAGCCAGCCCCATTACATGTTCCCTTTTGAGCCACAGAGGAAGTCTTGCACGATAAGCTGAAAACCGTACTCGTGTATTTGCGTGAGAAGGGACAGGGCAGCGACTGCAAAATTAACAGCCATTTAAAGAATTCAACAGAGGAGTTATGGCCGAAGGACATTATAGGCTCGTTCTTGAAGTTTTCAATGATCCCAACAGCTGTCCCATCACATGGCCTTCCTTTGTGGGGCAATAGAGAGCGATCCGGCAGAATTGGCATGCGGAAACTTCCAGTGTTAAGGAATGGCATTGCTGAATGTTCCATCCAGAAGGCACTCAAGTAGAAACAGAGGTGGTCAGCGGGGTTGGACAGCATCAGGCTGGAGGGACTTGGTCTCACCGAGCTGCACCTGGGCTTCTAAATTCCTTATTGCCTTTCTGTGTACACAGGCACAGGCTATAGGAAGGGAAGAATGATAAGGGAGTAAGTGCACACACTTGAGCTAACTCATTGTGTCTATCCAGTGCGCTTGCCCATATCAGGTCTTGCCCTTTCCGTTCATTGCTAGGGAAGGGAATGTGCAGGCTGTTGTGACCTTAGCCTTCCTCTGGTGTCCAGCTCACCCCTCCCTGGTATCATTCCTCTTGCTGGGAGCTGGGACAGCGGAAACTCTCAGAATCTTCATGATGGCGATAGGGTGTGGCGTTACTGGTTTAACATTCATCTGAGTCAGTGCCTGTGCTATGAAACCAGCATGTCGACACCCAGAGTTGCATCTGGAGGGAGCTTCGGACTCTAGTTTGGAAGTACAGGTTTCCAAACAGTATATATTCTGTTTATTTGCTAAGTCCTGGGTAAATTGGATAATTCATGTAGGAGAGCCCTCATTCCCTGGGGGTTTTGTTCCAAGGCCCTCTTATCACAGAAGCCTTCCCCGGCCACCTGATGCAAAATAGCATGCCTCCTCTCCACGCGTCGTTTTCCTCACAGCACGTATTTCCACATGAAAATATGTTTGTCCATTTATTTGTTGTTCCACTAAAATGTGCACTCCATGAGAGCAAGTGTTCTGCTTGCTGTGTTTACTGTGATATCTTTAGCATCTAGAACAGCATGGGACCTGTCATACATGTCCAAAAGAAATCTGTGGAATAAATGCGAGATTGGAAAGAGGCTTGCGGAAGCGGTATGCTACCGCTCTATCCATAAAAGGGCCCCGTTGCCAGGAGAAAGGAAGGCGCCTGCCCTTTTTAGTTGCTTTGCAATTCCTAATTTCTTTGAGCAAACACTCATCAAGCACTTGGTACCAGGTGTGAAAGATCACGGCCCTGCTCTCCTGGGGTTCACAGACCGGTGACAGATATAGACATTTGAATTAAATCCATCCTGTAAGATACAACTCTGGTATCAGCCCTCCTGGGAGCTGTTCTCGAACATCGGTCTTCCCCAAAGCTACGTTGGGTGCCATTTTCCCCATTTCCATAGCACCCCCTGCAGAGCTTGACCATGGTCCACGTGTAAAGCAGACACGTACTGTACGATGTGCTTTCTGTCTCCCTTGAGCTCTTTAAGAGCAAGGAATACACCTTACTCTTTACTGTAGCATCTGACATATAGAATACTTGGTAAATACCAGGTATCCTTGTCACTGCCGCTGTTATTCTGTGCATTCAGTAACCAGCATTTGTACAGCTGTGTATGTATAAGTCTTACAAACAGCTGTGTTGTTATAAAATATGTTCTAATGCTGTGTTCTATAATACTCCCCATTTCAGGCTCTCCTTGTATTCTAGTGATGCAGTGATCATGTAGACTGGTTAGAATTTTTACTGAGAGTTCTTAGAGGAATTTGTGTTCCTAGTTGGAAGCTGGGATCCTGATGTACTTCACAAATCATTCTCTACATGCAGATGTCAGAAACTCCTATGAGCCTGGAGCATTTGGTTCATTTCAAGGGAGCTGAGGAAGTCACAGGAATCCTCTCAATAAATACATGTGGGTTCATGGAATTTTGATGCTGCCACTTTGATGTGGCCGTTTTGATTCAGGGTTTCAGGGACATTTTGTCATGGCCTGAAAAACAAACCATTAAACATTACAGCAGTTGTGTACAACTAAGAATTGTGTGCAACAGACGCCCAAACACACTGCTGGACTGAGTGTGTGCATTAACCTAACAGTTGCATGTTTTCACTTTGACATGGCTGTTTTGATGCCCGACACTTTCATTCTGTCCTTCAGATCTTGCCAGAGCATTTGGTTTAAATACTTGTTAGTCTCACTTAAATACTAACCATGTGCCTGTGTCCAACTTCAGTGGCAAAAGGGATTCAAATGAAGCAGAAGTTAGGGGATTACAATCTCAAAGGGACATAGAGCAATGCCCAAGGCTGGCTGATGGATACATTCGCCATTTCAGAACACACATGGCCTGGGTTCTTTGTTGGCCATTTCCTGGTTTAGAGCTTCAGATTACTGGCTGGAGAAATGTTTAAAAATATCAAAAGATCCCAGTGGAAACATATGGTCTGCCCGTGTTAAAAAAGATCATTTTGATCATTTTCCCCTGCTGTGTTGTAAAAAGAGCCTTTCTGTCTGTTTCACTTGGTGATTAGAGGAAGCGGTGTTTGTTGCTTGCTGACCAGATTGGCCCTCATCTGCTTGCTGCGAGCAGTCACGCCCTACTTTCTTTTCAGACAGGCTGAGTGATCATTAGCACACACATGTCAGCTAGTCAGAGGCTGCCCCCAAAACGAACTAGATGAGTAGATAATTAGGCCACTAAGGGGAGACCAAGATGCCAGTATTTTAACTACTATTTTCATTTGGGTATTCTAACCAGATCATGAGACATCATTCCTAATTTCAAAACATTTTGGTAGCAAGTATATTAAGGAGCCCGTTATGAAAGAGTAAGTGCTGTATTTGGGTCCCTGGTCTTCAGTCTAAGACTCTGGAGGCTAAGCTTGGTGTCCTGTTGAAATGGTAGAGCAAACGTCACCCTTGTAATGAACTTGATGAAGGCTGTGTGTCTTCCTGCTGCTTAGACAAGGTCACAGCCTATGCCAGGTGTCACACCAGGTCCCTAACATACATTATCATGTTTAATTTCCACAAGGTAGGCATCAAGTCCTTCTTTCTACACATAACACAGCTAACAAGTGATGGAGGCAGGATTTAAATCCCAGGTGCCCTGTCTCTAAAACCCACACTATTTCCATTGTAACCAGTGATTCCAAACCACCGGTCTGCCGATTGATACTGGTTCCAAAGGAAGGCTTTCCCAGGCTCTGGCGAGAATGTCTGGGTAAGGCTAACTCCCTCCCATCTTAGAGGGCATAGACATTTATTCAGAGACTGTGACTTGTCTTCCCAGTGTTTTAACCCTTAAACAATTTTTTTTTTTTTAAATCACATGATGGTGATTGTAAATGGCAACTAGCAGAAGTGTCTTAAGTTGGCAAAGTAAAACCTTGGCCTATGTCAGTCTCCAAGCTTGTGTCTGAAGTCTTACAGACCTGCCTAATGACAAAGCTGGAACAAGAGGCAGTGTACCCCGTACCCCAGCCAGGTTCGCCGGCAAGACTCTCACCACAGCTTGGGCTTATGTGTCTTCTGTGGAAAAGTGCCGGGCTGCACTGCAGTGAAGGCAGTCATGTGCTTCTTAAAGCCACACTCCCTTGATGTGGAGTAGCATGACCCTTGGGCAGCTTTAGCAAAGTCCTGATAATGCAAATAACCTTTTAAAAACCACAGTAGATTGAAACAAACAAACAAACAAACAAACTAGATAAACCATGCTTTCCAAAAGAGAGACAACACTTGGACTACCCACATGTATGGCTTTTCCATGACCAGGGTGGGGAAGGCTGGAGCTCAGAGGCATTTGAATTTAGCGTGACTTAGGTCGTGACTCTTCTGACCTTCGATAATTCAAAAGTCACTTTTGGCTATTGATACAAGAATGAGTCAGGTTTCAGAGGCAGACATAGCTGGGTGGATACCTCCATTTTTTCTTTAAAATTTTTAATCATTTTTTAAAATGTTTATTTATTTTTGAGGGGGGGGGAAGGGGCAGAGAGAGAGAGAGAGAGAGGGAGACACAGAATCCAAAGCAGTCTCCAGGCTCTAGGCTCTGAGCTGTCAGCATAGAGCCTGATGCGGGGCTTGAACCCACGAGCTGGGAGATCATGACCCGAGCTGAAGTCAGGTGGTTAACCGACTGAGCCACTCAGGCAACCCTCTATCTCTATTTCTTTTAGCCTTGTGACCCTGAGCAAATTACTTTCTGGAAAACAGGGCAGAAATACTATGCCTCTCATAGTAGCTGTGGTGGGCAGCTCTTGGAAAAACCTCACCTGTGCTTGTGGTATGCCTTTCCTCTACCATGATGACCCAAGATGGTAGGGAGAAAAGTGCCTGGCGTGGAGGTCTTCCCTGTGTCCTGGTATCCTGCTTACAGGTAAACTGGGACCTAGAATACCCTGAGTTGCTCTGGTTTTTATTTTCATGCCAGTGGTTCTAGAAACCTCACCGTGCCTGGTGGGAGGCCCATTTCATCTGCTATTACCTGAGCCCCTCACCTGCACAAGGGAGGCAGCCAGCAGGCCCTAACCTCCACTTTTGCTCACCTTGCAGTGCCAACAACATGCCCAAGCAGGTGGAAGTACGGATGCTCGACAGCCATCTGAGCTCAGAGGAGCCGAAGCACAGGCCCCTGGGCCTGCGCCTGTGTGACAAGCTGGGGAAGAATCTCCTGCTCACACTGACTGTGTTTGGTAGGTGACGGGGGCTGCCTGTCTTCTCTGACTGTCTCCAGGCTCTGTGGCGAAGCTGGCTGAGGAGAGGAAGGCTGCCCTCTCCCTGTAAAGGAAGCCCCGGGCCCTACCTAAGGCCACCTTTACCCAGGCACGGCTGCCTTGATGATATAGTCCCTTTCCCCTGACACCTACTCTAGCCATGTATTTTCTTCTTTGGGACTCTGGTGGTCCTCAGCACTTCTCGTGAGTATGTGAACATGCAGATTCCCAGGTCCTACACACAGAGACTCTGGGCCATCTGTAGTGAGGCCTTGGAATCTGCATCTTAACAAAGCTTCTAGGTGATTCCAAAGCAGATGGTCAGCATACCACATTTAGAGAAATACCTGTACGGAGTTTAAGACAGCAGTTACTGAAAACCCCACGAAGCGGGCTCCCAAGGTCTAACCTACAAACACCCTCACTAACTTCGATTAGTTTAGCACATTATCTAATGGGGTCAGGGTGGAAGAGGCTTGTCTGGAAGTCCTGATCTGGTCTGGCTCCTTCACAAAAGTCTGATTCAATTCCTCTGCTTTGGACCGCACCCAGCTATGGTTGTCCTTTTGGGAGACTGTTGACACAATCTTGGTCTTGGGTTTTCAAGCAGGGTTCATTGAAAATGGGGCAAGTTGCAGTATCTTGTAATGACAACCACATCATTTCCTCTCTCGATCCCTCATTGTTCTTCAGCTCTCACTTAGGCTCCACACGAAAGCGAAGAACAACTAATCACTCCAAGCCCTTTCCCCACTCTGTTCGTGGCTTCTCCTTTGAGCCAGTCATCTTGGGTGTCAGTGGACCAGGGTCCAGATTAGGGGCTTGCCACAGCTCAGTTTACTTAATGAAAGAAGACAGAGGTGTGGTAGGGGTTTCCAAAGGTTACCTTTCACATAAAGAAATTTCACTTATCGTAGATTCTAAAGAAGTATATTTTTTACCTGTAGAAGTAAAAAAAAAAAAAAAAAAACCAAAAACACAAAAAAACCAGCAGGCTTTTAGCCACATCACTCCCCTGATATCCCCAGAGTTAACACCGTAGCCCATGGACCTAGGGACTTCCTCACTCCCTCCCTCCCAGCCAGTGTGCTATGACCTGATTTGTGGTTTCTACAAGGATCTTGTATGCCGGCTGCCTGTTTGCAGAGATCTAATAAAGTTTGTCTTGCGGAATCCCCGAGTATGCAAAGTGAAAGGCTCCTGCCAGCAACTAGCCTAAATCGTTTCCTCCCAAATTATATACTTTTAGAGACCCCCCCCAATCTACCATAAAATCAGCAAGTCTAAAGATTATGTAAGAGAACATAGAAGTCAAGGACAAAACTTCTTGAGAATGAGCCATGGGGAAATTGTTGGGAGCCAAAGAAAATTGAAGGAAAAAGGAAACTCACACCAGCTTGGTAAATCAAGTGTTCCTTTTATCTGGTATCCAGTCAGAAAGGAAAGAGATACATTAAACACCATACCGATGGCCCGGCGTAGGCTTGGAGGGCCTGCAAAGCAGTATGTGGCCCTGTGGATTATTTCTACTGACTCTAGGACTCTACAAGTGGACAGCATCTTCAAAGAAGTTAGTCAAGTTTCCGTATCGTCCTTCTCACAAAGCCTCATCAGGGCTCTCCTCCACTCTCACAGTAGTGCCTTTTAGAATGGTTGGAGGTACACGATATTCTATCACTAGACATTAAAGTCAACTCTACTGATCAAATGGTATTTTTGTTACGTGCTATTCATTGTCTGATAATGGGGAAGTATGAGACAGGTCAACCTCACTGAATCCTGAGAGCTAGGGCAAAAAATAAATTCAAATATCTCCCCTTCTCCCTTGCAGGTGTCATCCTGGGGGCGGTATGTGGAGGGCTTCTTCGCCTGGCATCTCCCCTCCACCCTGATGTGGTTATGTTGATAGCCTTCCCAGGGGATATACTCATGAGGATGCTCAAAATGCTCATTCTGCCTCTCATCATCTCCAGCTTAATCACGGGTAAGGCCACAGGGGATCAGACCCCCGCTCTGGCTTGTGGAGTGAACATCGGATCTCAATTTGGTGGAATGAAGGAATGAATGAGTGAGGTGGTCATCTGTGTCATTGTATTTAAGAGCCTTGGCTTTTCTGTCTCTAAAATGGGGATTATCAACCCTAAGCACAAATTTCCCATCTATTGGTCAGTCCTTCTGTGTGGCAATAAGAGATGAAAAGGAAGCTGCCACATGTTCAAAGTGATAACTAGAGTGATTTCAATTTTGAATGTACACTTTCTCATTTTCCAAATTATATTTCATTCAGATACTGACAAATAAAAGTAATAAATAGAAAAGGATATTTTCTCTTAACTATTTAACTGGATGTAGAAGGAAGTGGTATTAAAAATAAACTAAATACTAGATGTGAAACCCTTCAAGGTTTTTTTTGTTTTTTTTTTTTTGTAATACCTATTTATTATTGAGAGACAGAGCATGAGCAGGGGAGAGGTAGACGCAGGGGGAGACACAGAATCCGAAGCAGGCTCCAGGCTCTGAGCTGTCAGAACAGAGCCCGACGGGGGGCTTGAACTCACAAACTGCTAGGTCATGACCTGAGCTGAAGTTGGATGCTTAACTGACTGAGCCACCCAGGTGCCCCAAACCCTTCAAGTTTTTAAGAAGAAATGTACCCTTAGTATGTAAATCATGTTCAACTCTTTGGGGCTGAAAGAAGTGTTTTATTGGAACAAATTTTTTCACCTCTCTGGGGTTATGCTAGTAGTTTTCTCTTTACCAAATAACATTGCTCAAATAGAGTATAAATTGATGTAGGTTTTTTAAAAAAATGTTTTTAACGTTTATTTAACTTTTTGTGAAAGAGAAAGAGAGTGTGTGTGAGTGGGTAAGAGGCAGAGAGAGGGAGACACAGAATCCAGAGCCGGCTCCACTCTCTGAGCTGTCAGCACAGAGCCCAACATGGGGCTTGAACTCACAAACCGAGAGATCATGACCTGAGCCAAAGTTGGATGCTTAACCCACTGAGCCACCCAGGTGCCCTGTTAAACTGATGTAGTTTAAAGACTGTGTTCTGAGTTAAGGCTGAAAGCTAGGCTTTGACTGATATTTGGGTGCTATCTAGGTCACCTTGAGAAAGCTGTCCCTCGGGGCTCTCCACCTTCTGAAGGAAGCAAAGGTCTGGAAGCATCAAGAGATTCAGACACTAAGCCAGGTTGTTCTATATAGTCTCATCTCTGGTCAACCAGCAAGCCCAGTGAATGCAGGGTCTCCTCATTCAGCCCCAGACTGAGCGAAACTGCTTTCACCTGAAAGGCTCCTTTTCAAACCAGAGAAAATGTTCGCCATGCCTGTTTAACAGACCATACGCTGGTCAGCTTGGCAAGGAAACTTAGTGTCTGTTGGCCAGAATCTGACTTTAGGTTGTAAGGAGTAGTGGCTCACAGACAGGTCAGCTTAATTCAGAAAAGTATATGACAGTGACTTCCTCCCGCACAGCAAGGGCTACAGTCTCTCTGTCTAGTAAGAGCAGAAACTGAAACCAGGAAGTAGAAAAATTGAAGAAACAACTGGGAAAAAACCTAGTGAAGGCAGGAGTTTTTGTGACTTGCTTGGAATTTCCTCTACCAATCACAGAACCTCCCACAGTGTAGACGGAGCACCCACCTCTGTGTTCTCTAATCCCTGCACTCTGTTGGAAAATGTGGGTCTCCATTATGCTTCACCTCGGAGGTGTGAGGACTGTGCTAGATTGCTGTGCTAGACTTTTGATATCAATCACCAGGACTACCAGCGTTCTGTTTTGTTTCGTTTTAAGGGAGGACATTTAAAAAAAAATTGGCACCATCACTTCATAAAGAAAGTGTGTCTTAATACCAAATAAGTGGGAAGGACATGATCTCCGAATTAAAAATAGAATATGTTCAACTTTAACTCACTATTGCAGACTGACAAAAAGTAGTCACTGACCATTTTATACACTCTGAACCAGAAATCTTCAACTCTCTCTGGTTCCCTAGAATCTCAAAAACGTCCTTGGAGAACAGAACTGTAAACTGGAGGGGGCACCTCAGTGGCTCACTCAGTTGAGCGTTGGACTCTTGATTTTGGCTGAGGTTACGATCCCAGGGTCATGAAATCAAGCCCCGTGTCAGGCTCTGTGCTGAGTGTGGAGCCTGGTTAGGATTCTCTCTTTCTCTCTCTGCCCGTCTCCTCTGCCCATCTCCTCTTCTTGTGTGTGCTCTCTCTCTCTCTAAAATAAAATAATAGTACAAAAAAAAAAAAGAAAAAAGAACTATAAACTCTAGGACTTGTGGGACCAAACTTTCAGTAGGAGGAGGTTTAATTAAGCATTCTTGCATATGAGTATGAAAGCCAGGTAAGCAGAGATGGGCATCACACGATGAATCCTTCCCATGTCTTTTCAACCCAGGTCTGTCGGGCCTGGATGCTAAGGCCAGTGGACGCTTGGGCACGAGAGCCATGGTGTATTACATGTCTACGACCGTCATCGCCGCGGTGCTGGGGGTCATCTTGGTCTTGGCTATCCACCCGGGGAACCCCAAACTCAAGAAGCAGCTGGGACCCGGGAAGAAAAACGATGAAGTGTCCAGCCTGGATGCCTTCCTGGACCTCATCCGAAACCTCTTTCCTGAAAACCTTGTCCAAGCGTGTTTTCAACAGGTAACCTCAAGCTCTGCTGCTCTTGCCTCTGCAGCCTCCTTCAGTTATCAAGACGATAACTTAGGGAGTGTTTCAGTGAGCCAGCACTAGGGAGCAGTTTTCCCGTATTTAATTTTCTCTGTCTAGGGATCATAGGAGGTGATTTGGAGCAGGATTTGGGGATTAAAGTCGTATTTTGCTTTATTTTATTAACCTTCCTTTTTTTCCAGCCCACTTTGCATCTCTCTGCTCTGGGATTCTCCTTCTTCCTTTTTATTTTTATTTTTTCCTATTACTTTTCCCCTTGTTTTTGGTTTCCATTGATGTGCTGTGCAAGGGCACATTTTTTAAATGTGTTTTATTTATTTTTGAGAGCGAGGCAGCAGGAGCAGCAGAGGGACAGAGAGAGAGGGAGATACAGAATCCAAAGACAGGCTCCAGGCTCTGAGCTAGCTGTCAGTACAGAGCCTGATGTGGGGCTCAAACCCACGAACCGGGAGATCATGACCTAAGCCAAAGTCGGATGCTTAACCGACTTAGTCACCCAGGTGCCCCCAGGGGCACATTTTTAAAAATCACTCTTGCCAACAACCCTCTAGAGTGACCCATGGGTCTCTATGTTAGTAGAATAGCAAAACCACTTGGGATGCTTTTAAAAAATACACATGCCCCACGGAGTCAGAATCTCTAAGGTAGGCCTAGGGATTGGGTGTTTTCAAATTGTAGAAGTAATACATGAGGGCTGTAAAAAGTTTAAATGGTGTAGATGCACTTTCCTTCCCTAGAACTACTCATGCTGGGAATTTTGTTTCCTTCCATATATATATTTTGCCTCTGTGCATAATTAGAAAAAATTCAACCCAAGTGGGAACTGCATTATATGGACTGTGCTACCCCGTGCTCTTTTATCTAACAGTGCTTTACCATCCTCTCCCTCTCTTTTCATGATTGTGTAGTTATTTCTAAAAAATGAATTCTTGGTGGGGCGCCTGGGTGGCTTAGTCGGTTAAGCGTCCGACTTTAGCTTAGGTCATGATCTCGCGGTTCGTGGGTTCGAGCCCTGCGTCGGGCTCTGTGCTGACTGCCAGCTCAGAGCCTGGAGCCTGTTTCAGTCTGTGACTCCCTCTCTCTCTGACCCTCCCCTGCTCACACTGTCTCTCTCTCTCTCTCTCCTAGAAATAAATAAAAAACATTACAAAAAAAATTTTTAAAAATGAATTCTTGGAAGCTAATGTCCCGCCAGAGTTTTAGATTTCAAATTTGCTGGATGTTGCAAAATGGCTCTACAAAAGTTTGTAGTAATGTATGTCTAGCAGCTGCCTACAGGCAGATCAAGTTTTTTAAAAGTTAAACTTTAAGAAAATGGGTGAATCTGCTGGGTGGAACCACTGAGAGAGAGACCTTGACCCCTCTCCCCAGCCTGTTGTCTCGCCCCAAGGCCAGGTTAGGTGAGAATACACATCAGTTCCCATCAGCCCAGGTAGGAAGTCAACTAGGACCAAGGAGCCTCCTTCAGCCATTTCCAGGGAACCACAGAAGAGTGAACTTGGGAAACAGGATGCCTCAAGGAAAAGTTTGCCTTCTCAGCTGCCCCCCAAATGCTGTTGTCAACCACTGCTGAGCCCCAGTTATTCTGGGTTAAGATGTGTTCTCTGATTTCCATTGCCACTTTGGTGGCACTTACGGCATAGAGCTTTGTTAGAGGAAACCATTTCACGGATAAAGAAGATGTGGCGTATACATACACAATGGGGCAATACTTAGCCATAAAAACAAATGAGATTTTGCCATTTCCAGCAACATGGATGGACCTGAAGGTCATGATGCTAAGTGAAATAAATCAGAGAAAAACAAATACCACGTGATTTCACTTATGTGTGCAATCTGCAAAAACAAGACAAATAAATAAACAAGTAAAAAGCAGAAACAGGCTTCTAAGTACAGAGAAGAAACTGAAGGTTATCAGAGAGGGAAGGAAGCAGGGGATGGCCAAAATGGGTGCAGGAGAGTGGGAGCCACGGGCTTCCAGTTATAGAAGGAAGTCATGGGGATGAAAGGAACAGCACAGGGAATATAACCAATGATACTGTAATGGTGTGGTGAGGGGACAGACAGTAACGACACTTGCTGTGAGCAAGGCGTAATGTACAGGCTTGTCAAATCACTGTGTTGTATGGCTGAAACTAATGTAATATATTTTGTGTCAACTCTACTTCACTAAAAAAGAAAAATAAAGTAAAATTCAAAAGCAACGATAAAGAAGAAATCGAAAAGCCTCCATTAAAAGATAATAAAGGGGCACCTGCGTGGCTCAGTCAGTTAAGCATCAGACTTTGGCTCAGGTCATGATCTTGCAGTCTGTGAGTTCGAGCACCATGTCAGGCTCTGAGCTGTCAGAGCCTGCTTCTGATTCTGTGTCTCCCTCTCTCTTTCTGACCCCCTCCCCACTCACGCTCTGTCCCTCTCTCAAATATAAATAACCCTTAAAAAATTTTTTAATAATAATAAAAAAATAAAAGAAACCATTTCGGGGTGGGGAGTGAAGGGAGAGGTGCTGTAGAGGGAACCGACTTAGAAAGATGAGAGCACTCTGGAACTTGGGGGAGGGGCAGCACGAAAGGCATGGGGGAGGCAGGGATTGGGGACTCCGTCCTGGGCCCCATTGTGACCATGCTCCATCCGAGGAGACCCCTTCGTCACAGTCAGCAGAGCAGAACCAAAGCAGACAGGCACCTGGAGTGCTCACTGTGGTCTTGGCCGCGCTCACACTCGGTGACCTGTCTGGTCAGTGGGCAATCTCGGTACGACGCTGCCCACGGCAGGGGTCCTGTGCACACTAGAATAGAGGGCTGAGCCGTTCACTGCCCCATCCCTGCCCTGGACCTGCCCCGCTCCCCTAGCAATACTCATATGAGGAACAAGCCCTTAGTCCCCCAGCTCAGTCCACGGTCATACCCCTTTGAGTTAGGACGATCAGAGGAAAAATTGTGTAGAATCTTTTATTTACCTCAGGGCCAGGAAGCATGTGGGCCTCAGGGAGCCCACAAGAATGGGGTCTTAAACTAGGAGCAATCCCTGGGCCCCTGGGGCCCTTGAAGAGGGTTCAGTGAGAGGAAACCATTGTAGGGTGACATCACCTTACCAGAGAGAAGGGATGCCAGACAGGTGCCTTCTGGGCCCTTGGGATATAGCTGGACATGACTACGAACAGCTTGTCGTGGGGGTGGAGGGCTTCAGGCCACAGTTGGACACAGAGACGGAAAGAGGAAGGCGCGCTGTCCCCAGAGCAGAGGCTGCCTTCCCCAAGGCAGCAGACCCTGCATCTTAGAGAGGAGGGGGCCTCCTGCTTGCTGCTTGCGGCTGAACCAGCGGAGCTTTCCAGGTTCCAGGACAGCAATGGGCTGTAAGGTGCGGTGTGACCACACTCCGTCAAGCCCGGTGATAGGGGCCCGCATGGGTCTTCTCTTATAGAGAATGCGATGGTGTGTGTTTGCTGACCATCTGATATTTAAGAGCACCTCCTGGGTGCTGGCTCCCCGCTGTGCACAAGGTGCCACAGGCAGGAAGACAGTGGTGGTGGGGAGGTCCCTTACCTATGAGGGATGGGGGACACTGTACTAAACATCAGGTATATACATAAGCTATTTAATAATTAAGATAAGTGCGCCCTGGGGCGCCTGGGTGGCTTAGTCGGTTAAGCGTCTGACTTTCGCTTAGGTCATGATCTCGCGGTTCGTGGGTTCGAGCCCCACGTCGGGCTCTGTGCTGACAGCCAGCTCAGAGCCTGGAGCCTGTTTCAGTCTGTGACTCCCTCTCTCTCTGACCCTCCCCTGCTCACGCTGTTTCTCTCTCTCTCTCTCTCCTAGAAATAAATAAAACAATAAAAAAAAAAAAAAAAAAGATAAGTGCGCCCTGAGGGCTGGAGGCAGGACAATGGAGAGATGTCTGAGCTGAAACAATGAGGAACCAGAATGATCTAGGCTGAGGACGGGGCGGGGGCAGAGCCTGCCAGGCAGAGGTGTGTCCAGAGAAGAGAAGGAAGGCCAGAGTGTGCGTGGTGGGGCGAGTGGGGGAAGCGAAGCCCAGCTCAGGCAGGACCCGGTAGGCTAGGGTCAGACTTGGGTACTTATTCTAAGAGAGTTTTAGACATGGACACAGCTGTTCTTCTATTTCTAAGAAATCAACCGGGCAGCTCTGGACATAGACTGAGCTCTGGTGGCCAGACTTACCTGGTGATTGCGGGCAGACTGTCAGGGGCGTGGGAAGGTCAGTGAACAGGCTTTTTCAGGTTTTAAAGTGGGAGACCCTGGTGGCTTGGACTCGGGTAGACTGGAGTTGGCATCCAGATGGGGCTGTCCAACTCAAACAGGCTCACATCAAGAACTGAGGCAGAAACCAGGCCTGTGTTCTAGTATTGCTATCTCCTCGCCTTCAACCTGAGCTACTGGCCTGAGCTATTTGGAAGCTGATTTGGGAGTCTGCCCTGCTGTTAGTGAGCTCCCTGAGCCTTGAGGAGCTACTGTTGGCATAAGAGATAATATATGTCAAACATGGGACACCCGCTGCCCACCTGATCCTGAGAGCCACCGTTTATTTATGACCATGGCCATTAGTACTTTCAACTCAAGACTTGGCTTCTTTAGCATTCTCAGGATAGAGAATGTTGGCTTCTGGTCCTCCCATTTTTCTTGGGAGCATGACTCTTGCTCACAGAAGCTTCCCTTGTGATCATTCCTGCATTCTTTCTTTTTGCCAACATTGCCCAGACCAAGGAGCCCATGAGCTGCCTGTTCTCCCCTTGCACACTCAGCCCGAGCTTCCTACCTCCCTGCACAAGCACACGTGGCCAGGCTAGAACAGAGCACATCCTGCTTCTCTCCCACTTTGGGGAGCCAGTCAGTTTGGCGCTGTTCACAGTTAGGCCTAGCTGCAGTGGGATTGGGTCTCTGTAGCACAGGAAGTGGGAGAACTCAGTGGTGGTCAGGCCTTCTGAGTTTAAGTCCCAGCTCTGCCAAGAACTCTGTGACGTCTGACAGGTCACTTGAGTTCTCCACACCTCCTCTTCTTTATCTATTCAGGGTTGAGCCATCTGTTGCCTACTATGTACCAGCACTGACATTCTAGGATTCCGCAGGAGTTCTATTTTAATGCCCTTGGAGGTATTGTTTCTCTGGGCTCAGAAGTGTGTTTTTACAGCACTCGGTATGCAGGGTGACTGACACCTTTAAAATTAGAATGGATGCCACAGATGTCGAGGAATAGCATGAGAGGTTCTCAGGGGGCCACTTGCACAGAGATGCTTGGCAAACACTGAGCAAAGCTTGGCATCACTGCCCAGAAGGAGTGGGTGTCTTTCCACCTTACATTTTGATCTGAAATACAAGCCAACATCCCTGTCATGGCAGCTGCTGGCAGCTAGTACATCTGGTGCCCAGATGGAGCTGTCCAGCAGAGCATGACTCTGGAAGGAGCTCAAATGAGAGTTTGTCTGTGAAGACTGCCACACACGTCCCAGGCAGGAAGGAACAAAACAGGGTGGTCCATGAGGTGCTGACCTGTTATCTGCAAAGACCCTCACTTTCCTACTCTTGACTAGCTCCAGGGCCCCTCCCAAGAGGCAAAAAGGAACATTCAACTGAGTTTCACAATTATGAAGAGCATCCATGATTGATGCTGAATGTTGTCTCTGAGATGCAGGACTACAATCATGGGAATGAAAGAAATAGACAGACACATGGAGCACCTGGGTGACTCAGTCGGTTGAGCTCCTGACTTCAGCTCAGGTCATGATCTCAACGGTTTGTGAGTTCAAGCCCTGCATCAGGTTCTGTGCTTGACAGCTCAGAGCCTGGAGCCTGCTTCAGATTCTGTGTCTCCTCGTTTCTCTGACCCTCCCATGATTGTGCTCTGCCTCTCTCTGTCTCTCAATGATAAATAAATATTAAAAAAAAGAAAGAAAGAAGTAGACGCCTGTCCCTCAACTTGAAGCTTGTGTCCCTTTTTGGATCACACTACATTACAAATGAATGCTATACATCCTATAATTATTAAGTGATGAGGACCATCATTTCCTACTGTATTTGTGTAATAAAATATCACTTTGTTAAATACAAACAAAATATTTTCCGACTTTCATAACCTTTTTGACATTTCTTAATTTTTTTTTTTAACATACTAGGGACTTTAAAAACGTGTGAATGCCTAGGCTTTTGGCAATCAAATCTCTTATCTTTATATTCCCCCCTCCCCATTAGATTCAAACGGTGACCAAGAAAGTCCTGGTGGCACCTCCATCAGATGAGGAGGGCAATGCCACCAACACTGTCATCTCATTATTGAATGAGACTGTGACGGAGGCACCTGAAGAAGCGAAGGTGGTTATCAAGAAGGGCCTGGAGTTCAAGGATGGCATGAATGTCTTAGGTAGGCAACCCGGTATTCATCTCTGGGGGGAGACGATGGCCAGCCTTTCCTGCATCTCAGCACCTTGGCATTCCTCACTCCCTTCTCAGAAAACCAGTCACTCTGACGTCCTGTAGGTGGAGCCAGAGGCTCTCCCTGGGGAATAATTTGGGGGTCATGGAGACTGATAGTTGAGATATTAAGGAAGAGGGAGGGGGCAAGCAGGACCGCGAGAGGACATGCCAGCTAGAGGTTGGTTATGGGAAGAGGGAAGGGACTAACATTCACAGAGCACATTCTATGACTATGTGGTATTGGCATATAACTTTGTCTGACTGTCCATTTCGGGAAGTTACACATCCAAGTCTTCCATTTTTTTAAGCATGTTTTTTGAGCTGCCTTGTATGCCAGTGCTGCACTAGGCACAGGGCCAGCCTGCCCCAACGTCCACAGCCTTTATAACAATCAGTGCTATTAGGAGTGTGAAGTGTTGGTGTTGGTGCCCAAAGGAGCTTATAATCTTTAGATAAGGATTCCAGTGAGGCCTTTCCCCTAGCCTGGAGCCTTTGTAGCATGCCATTGCTTGGTTCTTTGGCTCTGCAGGAAGACAGGCTGGGTTCAGATCCCTTGAGGACCACTCATTGGTTACCTGACCATGGCCAAGCGGCTCCACTTTCAAGATTCATTTGTAATGTGGGGATGAGATTGCATTTCTCCTGCATATCATTATGAGTATTGAATGAGATGGTGCAGTAGTATATACCATGTGCTCTCTTCTGAGCTACTGTCATTATCCAAGGTGGATAGAGAGCTGAGGAGCACAGTAAGAAAACAGCCCCTCAGAGGATGAAGATTCCCCATCATGGGAGAGACTCCCCTTTGGTCAGTTTACTCCCCATCCACCCTATGGGTCCACTCCCCACCATAACCCCCACCCATTGTTAGAATGGTGTCCCATAAACAAGAAAGAGGGACATTTGGCTCTAAGCTGGGAGAAGTGAGGAAGCTGGGTAGAAGTATGTGGATTCATACAAGCAAGATTTCTAAGGGTTTGAGTGGCAGCTGGTTAGAAATGGATCAGCTCCATGGTCCTTCCACTTTGCCATCTGGGAGATCAAAAACCCTTGTCTCCTTAGTAGGGTTATCAGATAAAGTATTGGATGCCCAGTTAAGGGTGAATTTCAGATGAACAACAAATGATTTGTTAGTGTAGAGTATGTCCCTAATATTGCATGAGATACTAAAATAAAATACATTCATTGTTTATCTGCAATTCACATTTATCTGGGTATTCTGGTTGTTTGTTTGTTTATTCTAAGTTTGATCATCTTATGAGTAACTCAGCCAGAGTGGTTGAGAGAAAGATGTAGAGGAGAAAGATTGTCCAGGCACTGAAAAGCAGAAGCTTCAGTGAGGGAATCTTCCAGTTTGACCTCAAAGGAAACAGGTTGAGTAAGTGAGAGTGTGAGAGGAGATACCCTGAATAGGTTGGCAGGCAATGGAAGATCCGTAAACATTGTTGACAATCAGTGAGAGGTGACAGGAGGAAGGAGAGAGGAGAAAGTGGGTGAGTCCCTCAGAAGAGGCCTTGCAAATACCCTCAACATTCTCCCCAGATCTACCCCTCTCCCCCACTGCCCAGATGTCTGTGAGCCTTTCAGGACTTTCCTAGCCCTGCTCTGTTCCCCCAAACCCCAAAGTCAAAGTGGCCCCACAGTCTTCTACATACTCTGGAAGAGGTTAAGGTCATGAGTAATGGGGCCAAACGTTGGGGTGAATCATTCAGAAGACTTTCACAGTTGTTTCCAGAGTCTCAGTGGATTCTGGGAAGTCACGTTGACCTTGAGCTGCCCTAGGGAGTTTCAACACAACTCACTACTCTCTCAGCCCCAGTGATCAAGTCTAAAAGGGCTTTGTTCAAGTGAAACACCCTAGTTCCAGTAAGTGAGTTCAGTGAGGCTGTGTTTATAGAGGGAAATGACATGGAAGTTGTACGTGAGTGTCCAAGTGCAGAGTGAGGCCCTGGAAAGCCAAGGGAAGTTAGACTGTTGGGAAAGTTCTCATTTACAAATCATGGCTAAAACAAGATTCTTCTCTTGGTCTTCTAAGGGTGGAGAAGGTGGCCTTTTTTTTTTTTATTGTTTGGCTTTGGAAAGTCCCAGCGATGAAACATTCCAGTACGTGAAGACAAAACCCTGGCTCTGGCCTCCTACTTCTTGAAGGACTCCTTTCTCTCCCCCAAAATCTCCAGACCACTTCTGAGCTCCACTCTAACCCCAACCATTAAGTCAACTCCTGGTAGACTTTGCTCCTTCCAGCATCTCTCTCTGTCTCATAGTCATAAATATGGCTCAGTTTCTGCTGACCCTGCAAGGGTAGCTTTTTTATGCCAGCATTTTCTGACTTTGAGACCTTGAGGAGTTTCTCTTAAAATCACCAAGTGGAATTAACTGGGTAATACTAGATCTCCTCAGCCAGAATGTTCACAGATTATGTCTCACCGCACACCTAACAAACTCCTCCTCAGGGGCTTGAGAGAAGGGCTTGGAAAATAGTCTGAATTTGGTTCCGTATGTTATGGCAGAGCAAGACCACATTCCCCTGGTCACTGATTCTCACTAAGCCTCTGTCTTTATGGCCAATAACTCACTTGTAAGTCACTTGCCAGTCTTCCTGGCTAAGAAATGAAAAGGAGCAATATTCATTACCAGGGAATTCACAATCTTGAGTGCAGGTGCTAAGTTCTTTTTGTTAAAGAGAGTGAGGGGCCAGGGAAGGATAGTTGAACAATCTGGGTTGTTATGTGCATAGTGTGGGGAGGTGAGTATCTCTGGGGAAGGAAAACAGGTAAAGTCAGAGATTCAGAGCGCAGGAATTCCTCCCTAAGAGAATCCAGTTATCATGCTATAATTTACCCAGTATAACTCAAGACTCCAGGCATAACTAGATACAATAGGAAACTGGATATAATAGAGAGGATTGTAAATTAGGCCTGCCAAACCAGGACAGCACAGGCCTAGGGATGAAGAGGGAAAGAGAGGACATAGAGGATTGGCCATACTACGGTTCAGAGGAAATGTCAGATGGGCAAGCAAGGGCCTATAGCCATGGGGACAGCAACATTGATTGATAGAAGTAGTCAGAATTGGAGCCCCAGGATTGGCAATAATGGGTCAGGGCGGGAAGGGGGCACATAGTGGCTGGTAGTCAGACATCCAGACAACCCCCAGACAATCATGGGGATATCTGTTAGCCATGAAGTGACCCAGTCCCTGGGTGGGCCTGGGTAAGACGAGGCAGGGGGTGAAACTCTGAGGGAAAGGATGGGAAGGCGTGGTTGGGGATGAGAATCTTCTGGGGAAAGAAAAGCCAGGCCAAGCTTGGAAAAGCCAAAGTATGTGGCAGCTTCCTAGGAAGATACTTGGGTGCAGGGAAAGAGGCAAAGACAACACAGAGATAAGACTCAAAGCCGGGTGTTGAGGTTCGTCCAGGACCTAGTGCATTTGATGGGGACAGAGCTCCTCACATGCTTCCAGCCGGGGATTAGGATTGACCCTAGAGGCTGAGGTGGGGCTGGATTTAGATGGAAGTCACGTGAAGGGAGAAGGGGACTGAGGAGCTAGGAAGTTACAAAGTCTATGTTCTGCCCTTATGATACTGATAAAAATATATATAGTTTAAAAAAAGGAAGCATTCTAACCGTTTTGACCATGAAAAGAATGATGAGGAATTAATAAATCACAGGTTAAATCCAAATGAACTGGGTTAATTGGGGTTTCCCAACTATTTTGGATTTCTCATTGCTTTCCATTTGACTTTTCAACATTCTCCCTCCTTCTCGTATTAGGCAGTAGAAAGATACTTTTATACTTAGGCTTTTTCTCCACACCAGCCATGCATGAATTTGAGATAGCGCTAAACCGATACAGATATAACCTTGGCAGAGACTTTATTGACTAAGTGGTCTCTGCAATTCTAATGTGGGCTCCAAAGTTTGCATGATAATCCCCAAGCCTCAACAAGCCTTCCTTTGTTAATCTATGTACTCTGGAATCTGCTTACCCAGGGTAAATGAGGAGAAGAGAGAAGAGTGTACTTTTGAGTTTGGAATAAAACAGAATTCATTTTTTTCAAGGAACTAATATCGCTGACAGTTCAACTTGCTCTTGTGGGAAATGTTAAGGGGTGCCATAATTATCCTACTGCCTCATTTGCAGGGTAACAGGCAGGTGAGAAGGTGGCTCCCTATGTCGGGAATGGAGAAGGAGGGAGAAGAAACACATGTATTGTAATCTGTCCTTCTGTGTGATGTGATTCACTCAACAGGTCTGATAGGGTTTTTCATTGCTTTTGGCATCGCCATGGGGAAGATGGGAGAGCAGGCCAAGCTGATGGTGGAATTCTTCAACATTTTGAATGAGATTGTAATGAAGTTAGTGATCATGATCATGTGGTAAGTGGGCTTGTTCTTATTTCAGTGTTGGGGGAGGGGCATGAAGGTCATGGGATCCTCAGAAGATAAGGATCCCCCCCCCAGCAGGAGAGAGAGGGCATAGACCAAGCAAAGGACTCCCTGTAAAAAGCTTTGAGAAGAGGATGAAAATCTTTTTTTGGGAGCTTCCCCTGGAAAATGAGTTGGAAAACCATGGCCCATCCTTGGGCCAGATCCTATCTGCTATGTGTTTATTGTGGTCTACAAGTTAAGAATGGGTTTTATGTTTTTACGTTGCTGGAAAAAATCAAAAGAGCAATAATATTCCATAACCCATGAAAATTACATGAAATTTCCCATTCAGGGTCCATAAATAAAGTTTTATTGGCACACAGCCACACCCATTCGTTCACATATTGTCTAGGGTTGCTTTGTTGACTAAGATTTGTAGCCTACACAGGCTGAAGTAATTACTCTTTGGCCCTTCATACAAAGTTTGCCTATTCCTGCTTGTGGGAAACAAAAACAACAATAAAAAGTAAAAAAAGAGAGACAAGCTGGAAAAACCAGTTAGTAACACTGAACTTGAGCACTATGAGGAAACACTAAGATAAGTCCAAGATACCGAGGATGATAGGGCATGACGGAGGGCGTGTGGAAGGACCACTACGCTAATATTCTGGTGTCCAAAAGCAATATATTGTAGACTTATGACTCATGCATAAGGAAAAAGAGCCAGTTCTTAGGCCATGCAAACAGTGAAGTCACAGAGGGAATATTAGAATTATAAGTGCTCTTGGAAACCTTGTTCTACCCTCTAGTTTTATAGAGGAAAAAGCTGTGGTCCAGAGTCACTGAATCTTGATGCTTTAACATCATTGTGATCATTATAATCATGAAGGTTACCAACTATTGATCTCCTTGTATCTGCCAAGAGCTAAGATAAGTGCTTAGTAATCCCAATAGCCCCGCAAAGGTGGCATCATGACTCCCATTTTACAGAAAAGGCAACTGAGGTGTATTGAGGTGAACTAATTTGCTTAAGGTGAAATATGTAGTGGGGAGACGAGCTGGAGTTCCTATTGATTTCATAATCCTTGATGACTAAGTGGGTGGCTTTTTTGTTTGAATTATCTAAGCAGTACTGTCTCTGCTTTATTTCCTGTGTGTTCATGGTCAGTGATTCTGAAATCTAGGGCAGTCCAGGAGTTTCTGCTCTTTTGTAAAAGAAGCTGTGCCACCTTCAGAACCCTAGTGTCCGCTCTCTCTCGGATGAAATATTTTTACGTGCATTTGTTCTAGACCTCTATGATGGTCTGATATGCCTGCCTCAAAAGAAACAAAACCATTATTAGACCAAATGGCATCTGTGCGCTATCTGTCACAGGAATTTGGGATTACAAATTCTCTGTCTCTGAGTATTCCCAACCTACTCACCTTCTTCAACCCTCCTCCTCCTCTGAGTTTCTCTCGCTTCTGCATGGTGCCTCCCACTAAAGTTCTATCTTCTTTTTCTCTTCTTCCTTTCCTTGGCCCCTACTCCCACTTTACAAGAACGAGAATCTGCTCTTGACTTATTTTTTATCCCACAGAACCCAGCATTCTGATGTGCCGGTAATAATTCTTACTAAAACCTCAGGAGTGAGTGGACTAGCTGATCAATCAGCTGGCTCAGATCAGTATGTTCCTCATAGGAGTGAAAACATGATACCTGACTTTCTCTGACTGACTTATTTCACTTAGCATAATACCCCCCAGCTCCATCCATGTTGCTGCAAATGGGAGGATGTCATCTTTTCTCATTGCCAAGTGGTATTCTATTGAATACATAAACCACATCTTCTTTATCCATTCATCAGTTGATGGACATTTGGGTTCTTTCCATAATTTGGTTATTGTTGACTTAAGAATCTACCCCCAAAACCAAGAGCTCACTGTATACACTGTATATTAGCCAACTTGACAGGGAATTATATTTTTTTAAAAACAGGATACACTTCACGGGAAAAAAAGTATTTATTGAATGAAGAAATGAGTAAATAAGCAAGAAAAAAAAAGATGTTATGTTTCTCATGATTTCATGAACCATATTTACTAGACCTGGCTTGTTCAGATCATTGCTTTACTGTACTTTTAAAACATGGACGGGATGCTGGTAAAATAATGTGGTGTTGTTTTTGTTTTTATTGTACAGATTCTTCAACTTCTCAGGCAACCCTAGATTTCTGAATCTTTCTTTTCTATGAAAATTTAACGTCACACATTCATTATATGACGCTCTAAAAATGCTTAGAGTCTTTGATATCCACCTGCACTTGCTGAGAATTTAGTAAACAATGACACAGAATATGCCCTTTGGTAGTAAGCATTAGGTTCTGCACGGGTCTCCTGGGATTTTGAGCAGAATGAACATCCTTGCTCTAAAACTACAGTTCATGTTTCTGTATCATGAGGCCAATGATGTGAGCAATATCATTTCCACTGAGTCCTTGAAAGAAAGAAAGTGTAGGAGATGAGTCACGACATGAAGTGTGTGCTCACTTCTCCAGGGATGAGGGGTGTGGATCAAGGTTTCCTAGTCACTGAGACCAAAGCTCCTAAAGATTTAGCGTCCAATCCCAGGAGATGCAGGGCAATTGTGAGTCAGGAACAAGGCCTGTGGGATGATTTCTGACAGCTGTTCCGTTACCTCATCTTGGCAGTCAGGAGGGTGTTAGGTGACAGGAGATGCGGATTCTGCATGTTTCTTTCATTCCTGAGCTGTCTCGTCAGTATTTGATACTGACGTGTGTGAGATGGTTTGGGGTAGGACAGTCAATCACTCTTTAACTGACCCTCTCGAATCTTAAATCATCAGAGTTCTTTTGTATTCTCTGTGTGGTAGTAAGAATAGTAGATAATGGCAAAATATAACATTGAAGAGATCACTGTTATTCTAATAACAATTATTACTAAATTATAATATATAGTTATTAAATTCTTGCTCTGTGCTCAGTACTACCTCAGCGATTATACTGTACTTATTTATTACAGAGGAGCTAATTATTATTATCATAATTATTAAATCATAACTAAGATTTGCCAAATTCCTGCTATATGCTTAATACTTTTCCAATTACTTTCCATACATTAATTCAATTTATTGGTCTCAATAATACCTAGCAGAAATAGGTACTTTGGCTAGCCCCATTTTCCAGTTGTAAACACTAAGCACAGAAGTTAACTTGCCCAGCCTTGCACAGCCTAGGAAATGGGAGTACTACGGGAGTGGTGCCTAACTCATGTTCTGTCTGACTTCAGATTGGAGTGAATCTGGGATCCTCCTATTACTAACTGTATGACTTTAGGCAAATTAGACACATTCTAAACCCCACGTTCTGATCTGAATGGCTGGATCAGAGAATCAATGTCTTAGGTTTGCCGTGAGAATTGGGTGGAATTGTGACCGACAGTGACAAAGCATTTCTCATAGGCCAGGACCTGTCTACACACTTTCTATGAACCAGTGTGATCATTGTTGTTATTTTGTGATTATCCTTACTCCTGTCAATTCATTCCATATCCTCTGTTTCTCTGTGTTCATGGATTCCCTTAAGAAGTCTAAAAGGCACTCTGATTCATCAAAAGAAAAGAAAAACCCTTAATTTCAGTCTGATTTTCATATCCTCATTTTTTACAAATTTCTTTAAAACATTTTTTTTCAAAATCTGATAACCTTAAACAGAAAGTAAAGCTTTTTATAATCTCACCACTCTAGAAACACAAAGTGAGAAGTGAGATCTCTGCTCACTCTTTCAATTCCCCCTCCCTTTTAACCCACCACCACCATCCATCCATCCAACCATCCAACCATCCACCCATCCATCCATCCAGCCACCCACCCATCCATCCATTCTGTCATCCCATAAATGTTCTTGAGCCCCTCTTCTATGCCAATAACAATTTTAGTAATGGTGAAGAAGACAGAGAAATATTCTGGCCCTCACAGGGCCTGCATTCTATTGGAAGGAAAAAGAGAAAGAATAAAAGGAAGCAAATAAGAATTCAGACAGCAATCAGTGCTACAGAGTTAGTAACCAGAAGAGTGGGACAGAGAGTAATGGGGGATGCAAGTATAGCTTGGACTCTATTCAGGGGGTCCAAGAGGGCCGTCTAGGGAACTGACTTTGGATGAAGATCTGAAGCTCTGTGAAGAACTGACAAGAGAATTTTTCAGGGGGAGGAAGCAGCAACTGAGAGGTTTTTGAGGGTCAGAAGAAGGTTGGAAGTATCTGCAGTGTGGTAGGGTGGTGAGGGGGTGTGGAAGGCAGTGAGGTTGGAGAGGTGAGCAGGAGGCAGATGTCCATAAGGCCTTGCAGGCTACCTTGACGAGTTGGGGTCTATTCAGTTGTAAAAGGAAGTCCCTGGGGAGGTGAGGGTTGGGGAGGGTGAGGAGGACTATAAGCCTGGAGGCTCTACATACCGATTTCCCCTCTATCCTGAACCAAAGTTCTAGTCTGCACATAGTAACTCTCAGGAGTCACTCCTTGGATAGCCAGAACACCCACCACTATGTGGACTGGGGAAAATGGAGATTTGTGTTACTTTTTGAGCGAGCCTGAGAACAGACAACACATTTTGGTGACTGTTAGAAAGTGTGTTTAGCTCTTTGTTGAGAGACTCTTCCATTTCTTAGTTCTCTTGGGAACTGTCACAAACTGGGAGACTCATGTTGCTACTGAAAACCAATAGCGGTGTGGGACAGAACCAGAGTGACTTTCTGGCAAGACTGAGAAGGTCAGTCCACTAACCATCGAAGTGTCTGATCCACCCTCTGTCCGGTGACTAGAAGTCCTGCATTAATTACTTTAATGGGTTAAGACCAGAGGTCTTGAATACACTGGAGCTAATGTAAATGGTTTCCAGAGGCTAACCAAGTACTATCTGCATTTCATCAGTTGTAGAGCAGATTTTGTTCCTTGAAGCGTTGGTTTCTGAACACACCAGAATTACCTGGGGGAAACTTGTTTAAAATACAAACACCCCCAGATTAGCTACAGGAAATTCTAACTCTATAGTTATGGGGTGAGTCCAGGGAATCCAGGCAGGTCAGGTGATTCTGAAGCCGACGTCTATGAATGAACAGACACCCTGAGGTTTGGGCACGTTAAATTCTGTGTACGAGTTTGTGTTTGTAGAGTAGAGAGCAGTCTTGGGCAAGGCAACTCGGTGAGGACCTTAAGATGATGAGGACTGAGGTACAAAGTGGATGGAGGCAAGAATGGATGATGTAATAGTAAGAACAAGGCTTGACAGGCCAGTCCTAGATGAATCAGTGGCTTTGAAAACAGTGCCCAGAACTGCAGATACAACCAGTCTAAGGGCATTGTGGGAAGCATTCTGTCTCCCTGCTCTGCAGTGATGTCCTTCTAACTTAGAACCTGGCCCAACAATTACTGGGCACCATTTGACTTCAAGAGCTTACTGGAGCCCTCAGCCTCTTTAGGAACTTTGGTTTATGGCTTTGATTGTTTGCTTCATCTCAGAAGCTTTGAGTGGTGACCCTGACTCCTGGGCATTTGCTCTTTCTTTTTTCTATGGGGTGTCATTTTCAATGAGATAATTATACAGAAACCCAGGAACTCAGAAGCTCCAGCTCCTGAGTGGAAGCTTAAGCGGCTTGTTTTGAAAACAGGTGCAGGAAATTAATGGCCCTAAAAGACACCATAGAGCTGAAAGCTCTTATCCTAATTAATGCTCATTCTAGTTCTGGAGACTCAGGTGTTTGGGTTAACTAGGGCCCCTGCTTGCTGTATTTATTTACTCTAACACTCTACCTTCTGGCCTTCGAATTAACGCTCCCCATTTATAGAGGGAGACTCATGTTTCTCCCGGCGAGCTGAGTGCTCTGGAGGTAACCTGTTCCCTCAATGCTCAAATGTGTTCTCCAGGGGGAGTCTATAGCTGTCTTGCTTGGCAAAGAGCCTTGATAGCACTTTCTCTGCATTCTGCAAATGGCTTGTCCCAGAAGAGCAGGAAAATTGAATGGCACCCAGAACACCTCATATTTGTGTTTTCCTGGAGATTAATAAAAGGGTGATTGGTGCTTGGGAAAGAATTGATCTCTTGGTTTATGAAGATAAGTGCTTGTTGGCTTTATTGGAAGGTGCATTGTGCTCAGTTACTTACAATCCCCTGGAACAAAGAGCTGGCCTCGGACACCACCCCGCTGATCTAGGAGATGTTGTGACTATGGGCACACCTGGGGAGAGTAAAATGGTGGGAAAGCCAAGGGTTTAACAACATAGCTCCCTAATGCCTGCGGAAACAGTCTTCAAGTAGCGCCAGTCTTTACCCCAGGGAAACATGTGGAGGCTACTGGCTGGGAAGGGAACAGCTATTCTAAGGTTTTTACTGCGTGTCGTATTGTCAGTTACAAATCAGCTCTTTCAGAAGAAGGTTCCCCCTTGACAAAATATTTTGCTTATAAAAACACCCACCATTGGGTGACAGTAGTCTGCGATGTTTTAGAAAGCTGCGTTAACTCAGACTTGACTCATTAAGCATGGTGGGGGAGAGAACATGGTGTGTGTGATATGTGTAAAAACAGAACATGCAAAAGATCCCTTGGTCAGCAGTCAGAGATGAATTGGTGCTGACAGGGATGGGTGCAGGATTTACATTTCAAAAATGTAAGCCTGGCAGCAATCCCACGAGGTTGGAGTTAGCCTAAGCCTCAACTTGGATGTCTGTAAAATGGGTATAAGTCTCTAACCAGGGTCATGTAGCTGATAAGTGGCTGGACAAACTCCGTGTCTTACTTCAATGTGTTTATAATTCTCATCTACTCCTCACGTCTTTTCTTTACCCAGGAAAGGGCTTGCTTCTGGCACAATCAAAAAAAAAAAAATTATCACATCTGGCTTGGATGTGTTCCTCTCCTTTACTCCTGCTGACGGCCTTATCCTGGACTCCATTTCCCCCACAGTCTTTTCTCAAATAAGTTCATAATTCTTACTAAGGTACCAACTTTCCCACGAACATTTTCATTTCAGTCAGAAGGTGTCGCAGGCTGAAAAGTCTATGCCCCAGGTCTACCAGATTGGGCAATAGAGAGAGGATGTTACCCAACAGTGGAAAAATACACTCAACTGAGAGAGCACATGGTGAGCTTACTCAAGAGTGAGGACAACAGTAAATGGTTTCTAAGCTCCTATCAGACAATAATAAGATAGAAATATAAAATAAGGTTATAGAGAATAAATTGGCATGTGGCAAATTGTTGGCTTATCTACAAAGAGCTACAATTGCCGGCTAAAGGGAAGTGGTTTGGCTTGGTGAGGGGAAAAAAAAAATCCCTTGGAGTTTCACAGGACCTGAATCGTTCTCCTCCTGCTTCCTGGTTTTGTGGTCGTGGGCTGGTTATTTAACTTTTCTGAACCTCAATTTCCTCGTTTGCCAAATAAGAATAATGATACCTTGTATTCTTGGTTGCGGTAGGATTTAAATGAGGCTATGCGTACAGTGCTCTTACTGTACCACTTGAAAATTGATGTTTATTTTTGAGAGAAAGAGAACACAAGAAGGCAAGGGGCAGAGAGAGAGGGAGACACAGAATCTGAAGCAGGCTCCAGGCTCTGAGCTGTCAGCACAGAGCCTGATGCGGGGCTCCAACACACGAACTGTGAGATTATGACCTGAGCCGAAGTCGGATGCTTAACCGACTGAGCCACCCAGGCGCCCCTGCACTGCTTGAGACATGATGCATGTTAGCCAGGATTGCTGTTACAGTAAGGATGGAAAGAAACACTTTCAGACTTAGAAGTAAGTAATAAAGCCACATTCCTCTAAACATGCCCTCTGGCTGAGATCGTTTTCTTGATTTGGCAGGTCCCACTCTCTCTCTCTCTCTTTGACTCTCTCTCATATTTTAATAAATTTCCTATCTTTCGGGCAAAAACAAAGCAAATTTGCAAACACCAGCATATAGTTTGGTGAAACTCTAATGAGCTTTCTGGGAAGCTCAGAATGGATTCCCATTTTTCAAGGAAAGAGTTGGGGATCAGGGAAACCAAACAAGTTTCTCAAAGACATAGCCTGTGTGTCTCTCAAGCTTGGTGCTTACCCGGGAGATGGTAAAGCTAGATTCTGTTATTCCTAAAAATCACCTGAGTAACAGAATTCGACTTCGGACTTTTCATCAGAGCAGGCCACTCTATCCCACCCCCTGCCAGATCGATGGAACAGATTTCAGAGGCTACAGTTAGTCCGAGGTAAAATAGAGCAACAGTTGAATCTCAAGGACTTCCTCCAGCAAAACTCTTTGTACCGAAATGCAAAGGGTTTTCCTCAGAGTGCAGTACATGGAAGGGCCCAGATTTAGGTTCTGAATTCCATAAGGCTCTCTTCAGTGCTTTCTTTTTTCTTTTATGTTTTTCAGGTACTCTCCTTTGGGTATCGCCTGCCTTATCTGTGGAAAGATCATCGCAATCAAGGACTTAGAAGTGGTTGCTAGGCAACTGGGGATGTACATGGTCACGGTGATTGTGGGCCTCATCATCCATGGGGGCATCTTTCTCCCCTTGATTTACTTTCTAGTCACCAGGAAAAACCCTTTCTCCTTTTTTGCTGGCATTTTCCAAGCTTGGATCACTGCCCTGGGTACTGCCTCCAGGTAGAGAATACAAGAAATCACCTGTCTTTCTCTCTGTTCATTCCTTTCCCCTCTCTGCCACTTCCTCTTTTCAAAAACCCTTTCATCGAAAAGTTCAATGAGAGCATGTTTCACATATTATTAAAATATTTCTGGAAAAGATAAATGCTTTGTCGTTTTGGCTCCTAGAAATTTAGGAGCTTTCTGATGAATACTTTTTGCTGATATGCAACTGTCCTGGAAATATGACCTCATATTAAACTTCCCAGATGAATACATGCTGTTACTATGCATGCTTAAGTTGCCACATCTAGCATTGGTTTAGTTCCAAATGTTTTCCAGAAAGATGTAACAGGATATTATGCTACTTAAGAAATTCTCCCACCTGTGATTTGAAAAATGCTATCAGAAAATATCACTTTATTGGAGTTATGGTTCAAAACTGCAAAAATGAGCTTTTACATGGTAAACATATTAGGTGAGATTTTTTAAAAAAACAAACCAGAAGTCAACAAAGTCTGTGACCTCTGCATGAACCACTAATGGACCATTCTGCCCCATTGATTTTGAGAAAATCAGGTTGGCATTGTTTCAACTTGACATTGACTGAGAGTCCATTCCTTCTTCATTAACTAAGTTCCAGGGCATCTGAAGCCAGTGAGGATTCCAGAGATATACAGAGGAAAAAAAATATCTTTTTGGATGTCTTCTTGGACTGAATTTAGCAAAAACAAACAAACAAACAGGAACAAATACATTAGAAACACCTAGTAATTTAGAATTTCAAAGACTAAAGAGTTCTATTGTTTCAGCCTGCACTAGTTGTATTTCTGCTTCAAACTACGGGTCACAAAACTGAGACAGAGGTCATGAAGCAGGTGGCCGGAGGGCAAGAAGACTGCAGCCCCTCGCTCAGCCTGATCTCTGGAGTCACCAGTCTGCAGGTTCTCATTGATCCCATGACCATGCATTGCCAGTGACATGGTCACCCTGTGACACAGAGTGACTGCTGTTTTCAAGGCTACTGAGCCGGCAGTCAGGTTTTCCTTAAGTGACCCAACAGGCCAATAGTAGTGACCATCTGAGGAGCCAGATTGCATTTCCATCTTGCAAGTCAATGAGATGTTGGTACTCGTAGAATGTGAGGGTTCAGATGATGCTAAAAGTATATATAATCTAGATCTAGATTCTGCGTTCGGTTTCCCGAGATGAAGGGCAACGCCCCAAGATTTCTTTATCCTTCTTGGTCTTATAAATTTCCTATGGCTAAGTATCTCTCTCCATAAAGATCCCCTCTCTTTGAAGAAAAAGTAAATCTTTTTTTTTCAAAACCAATCATTTTTAGTTTTATATTTGTTTTCTGCTTACAAGAGTGGTATTTGCCCATTGGGAAAAAGTTCAGACAGCGAATAAAGTTTTGAAGGAGAAAATGAATGTCACCAGTTATTCTATTTCCCAATGATAATTGATAGCAACCTTTTGGTTAATCTTAACAGTCATATATTTTTTCCAGGATTTACTATATATAGATGTTGCAATCTTTTTTTTTTTTTTTTTTTTACTGATAAACATATTATAAAATTTCTATCTATCAATATAGATCTCCCTACTATTTTTTAATGGTGTAATAATACACTGTAGGTGCTATAATACAACCCTATCTCCACTTGTGATGCACATTTAAGGCATGTCTATTGAACAGGGATGTGACAAGCATCCTTATAAATACATCTCTCCAAGCTTGTCTGATGATCCCTTCAGGATAAATTTATAGAAGTGGAATTTCTGAGTCCAATGGTAAGCACACTGACTGTTTTAAAACATACCACCCATTTGCCACTCAGAGAAGTATGTTAGTTTATGCCCCCACTAACTGGGTGTGAGAGTATGCTTTTCCCCACCTACTTGCTAGCACTGAATATTATCGGTCACTTTAATACTTTCCAATCTTATTGGTGAAAAATGATCTCATTGATTCTACATTTCTTTGATTACTAGTAAAGGCAAACATCTCTTTGTGTTCTTACTGACTATCCTACTCTCCCCTCCCCAACACTGTGAATTATTTGTGATGGTCATTTCCTGTTGGGGTATTCATCCTTTCCTGATTGGCTATTAACTCTCTTCACGTATAAAAATATTAACTCATGTGTCACACGTCACAAATGATGTTCCTCTCCACCTGAAATTTGTCTTGAAAATTTGCAGTGCTTTTTGCCCCTAGAAGTTATTAATTTGTGTATCGTTGCAGTTGTTAGTATTTTCATTTAGTATTTAGTATTTAGAATTTCAGTTTTCTCAGGAACGTATCTATCCAAAATTATAAAACATAATACTTTATATTTTCTTCCAATACCTTTACAGTTTTGATCTTTCAAAACTTAACTCTTTCAAAAATATTATTATCTTTCCTTTGAATGACTAGACAGTTATCCCTAGTACCTTTATAAGACAAAGTAAATCTTAAAAGCATATGGGTAGCCCAAGTTCATATTTAAATCAACCAAATGCTTAGGCTATCTGGCCAAGGCCACAGATGCTAGATCCTTTTCCTTACTCTCTTTCAAGTGTCTTTAATCTTTTTTTAAACTGTGGCTCTTGCCTGGAAGCAGAATTTCATTTTTTAAAAGAAAATACACTTAAAGAAAAAACTGTGGCATGAGTCACATACTAAGAACTATCTCAGCCATTATGACCACAGGGAAAAAACACAAAGCCCCAGTACAGTCAGCTAAATATTCTTTCTACCTCCTTGGACCTTGGACTGATGGAGAAGGGGAAGAAGTTCACCCCATTTTCTCAACAGGCTGATGTCAGGGAGGACTGACAGAGGGGGTGCCCCAGGACACATGTCTCTGCATCCTCCTGACATCAGTTAAACGTCATGCTCTTGAAACTACTCTAGAAAAAAAAGAAGACAGCCAAGTATCTGATAGTTATTATTAGCAATATTTGAGGACTATCATGGTTACTGAGTCAGGAGCCAAAAACCATGTCAGAGTGTTGGAAGGACAGGAAAGAGTTAAAATTCTCAAGTCCCAGTTTGAATTGGTTGGATATGTATCGATTTTTAAGACACAAAGCCCCTTCAGTAAAGAAATTGAGAGTTTTTTCATACCTTGTCAATTCCTTTCCTCAATCTATTTAATTGTTGAAGACCTCTTAGTGACATTTTGGAAAAATGAATGCCATAATAAAAATTATTATATTCTAGTCCTCCGAGAAGCGTTCTTAGATTCATGTCATTTAGAATCTCAGCCACCAACCACAGCTGCCATTTCAGACTAGCCATGGTGCCGTGGAAACCTTCAAAGGGGTCCTAAGAAAGGGTGAGGTGGGAGGGCCTGGGGGTGAGAGGAATAAAGGAACGTTAATGTCTCATTAAAACAGCTGGGGCAGCTAACCAGGCACAATGACCCCAACTCTTCTCCCTGGGTTTATAAGATTTTAGTAAGGAGAGGTCTCCAAACATTCATTTCCTCTCTCTACCTAAGAGCAAAGAAGAATCGTAAGACAGACCCCTGACCTGAAATCACAAAGAATATTCCCATAAGATGCCTCTGACTTCCCTATAATTGTTATTAGGAGCTTGTGGGTCAGTGGTTTACTAAGATGCAGATTTAGGCGACTCTAATTTTAGAGCTTCTGGTTCCTGTTTCTGAGTAGGCCCTGGAATCTGCATTCTATTTGACTTTTCTGAAACTGGTGGCTCACTCCTGCTCTCTGAGAAACTGAGACCTCTGGCAACTGTCTATGTCAAGCTTGGCGGGAGCCTAGTTCTGGCCAGTAGAAGGAGGAAACTGGCTAAGGCTGTCAATGCATGAAAGAAATAAGCGTGTCTGCGTTGGAGGTTCCCCAATTCACTTTGCTAAGCTTTGAATAGAAAAAAAGGCCAAAAAGCAAAATAAAAAACAAAAAACCAGAAATGAAAACCAAAACAAAACAACCAAACCAAAAAAACCCCAAACCAAAAAAACCCCAAAAGAGAATGGACCACAAAGAACTCGCAGGGCAGTATGGGTATTCTGCATTTCTTTCCATATTACTTAAACTTAGAAGCAAATCCACCTACCGTCCCGTGTCCCTCCCTCCACATAGAAATCATATTTTGGCTCTCAGCAACCCTTATCCTTACAGGTCTCCTAATTTAGAAGACACACAAACATGTCAGGGGTTCTGGCCCTTGAGGCTGGGTCATGCGGTCATGAATTCTGGACAGGAATTCCGGGGAAGAGTCGGGGGTGGAGTCATTCCATATTGGGTCTTTGATTAGCTACAGAGCACATGCTTTTCTGCCCTATGTTGTTGGAAAGACTGTACAGTTGGCCGGTGACCATGTATCAGGGAGTTGGATTGTGTATGGGGGTCCCCAGTGAACTGCTAGAAGCTCAGGTTCAGGCTAAATGGTACTTAACATGTTTGTTCAGCATTCTCAAAATTGTCTCAGGGCAATTCCCAGAGGCTAGATGCAGCCTGTGTGGTCATCTCGTTGGAAACAGTGTTTCTAGCATGAAATTATGGGTCAGCCGAAAATTCCTCATTCCATTTCACTGTTGACAGCTGATTGTTTCCTGACACATTTTTTTTTTAGCAGCTCAATTAATGTGGGCAATCAGATGGCCTTTAATATTTAATCCAAGAGGGAAACACTGATCAAAGGAAAAAGAATTTGAAACTCTAAGTAGATCTTGAAAACCAGAACCAACAAAAAGAGTTTGCTGCTTATGAGCATCTTAATAAGACTGAATTTGAATCTCCAAACAGTTGGTCTTTAATTTGCCTCCAGACACTGCTTTTTGCATGTCACGTGGCTTGTTTGGAACAAAAGATCAAAAACTTTGTGGTTGGCATTCCAGTTTGTGTTTTGTCCTGGTTCTCTAAAGTGGACATAAACTCTTGTCTCTCTCTTTCTATCTTTGTTCCTTAGTGCGGGAACTTTGCCTGTTACCTTCCGTTGCCTGGAAGAAAACCTGGGGATTGATAAGCGGGTAACCAGGTTTGTCCTTCCAGTCGGAGCAACCATCAACATGGACGGCACAGCCCTTTATGAAGCGGTGGCCGCCATCTTTATTGCCCAAATGAATGGTGTTGTCTTGGATGGAGGCCAGATTGTGACTGTGAGGTGAGTGGGGTGTAGGTGGGGGAACACTGAAATAGCTTTTTACCCTATCCCCTTCCACACTAACTCCATTTGACAGGGCCACTTGAATTTTAGCTCTGCTGGTGGAAGAATGATGAAGGAAATAACACAGAAGAGGAATTATTGGCTGTCGCAAAGGGAAAATATTGTGACAGGAAAGAAGCAGGCTCATACTCAGGCCTTCTGTTTTGTATTGCACATGTGAAATTGCTTTGGAAATTCGATATTATTTGATTTTTCACAATCCTGTGATGTTGCAAGGCAGTTATTTCTATGTCTGTTTAATAGATGAGGAAGCACAGCCTTCAAAGAGCATGGCAGCAAGGAGGGCTGTAACTGGGGCCGACATCAGCTGACTCTGGATCCAGTTTTCCTTTTGTTAAAATATGTTCCCTTCAGTGTTTCAGAGGGTGATGGCAGAAATGATGAAATACTGGAAGGAAGAGATTCCTCAATACAGCATAAACCATTTTATTACAAATAAATAGCAAATATAGATACATGTATTTTACTAAACCTATTTTTACCAAACGTATTCATTGTTTAAGACATTTAGGAAGAGGGGCACCTGGATGACTTATTTGGTTAAGTGTCCAACTCTTGATTTCAGCTCAGGTTGTGATCTCATGCTGAGACGGAGCCTGCTTGGGATTCTGTCTCTCTCCCTCCCTCTCTGTCCCTTCTCAGCTCATGCCCTCTCTCTCTCAAAATAAATAAATAAACATTTAAAAAAGAAAAAAGAAATTTAGGAAGAACACCTTCCCAAGAGGACAATAAAAACACATTGCTTCTATCAAAAAGAATGAAATCTTGCCATTTGCAACAACGTGAATAAAACTAAAGTATATTATGCTAAGCGAAATTAGTCAGAGAAAGACAATTATCACATGACTTCACTCATACGTGGAATTTAAGATGCAAAACAGATGAACATAAGGGAAGGGAGGCAAAAACAATATAAAAACAGGGAGGGGAACAAAACACAAGAGACTCTTAAATGTAGAGAACAAACTGAGGGTTGCTGGAGGGGTCACGGGTGGGGAGATGGCCTAAATGGGCAAGGGACATTAGGGAGGTCACTCGATGGGATGAGCACTGGGTGTTATACATAGGGGATGAGTCACTGGATTCTACTCCTGAAGTCATTACTGCACTATATGCTAACTAACCTGGATGTAAATTAAAAAGTAAATTAAAAAAGAACAACACATTGCTTCTGGGGCACCTGGGTGACTCGGTTGAGCAACTGACTCTTGATTTCAGCTCAGGTCATGATCGCAGGGTTGTGGGATCAAGCCCCACACTGGGCTCTGCACTAAGCATGGAGACTCCTTGAGATATCTCTCCCTCCCTCTCTCTCTCTCTCTCTCTTTCCCCCACCCTTCTCCTCTATTCTCATTTTCTCTGTCTCTAGAATGAATGAATGAATGAATGAATCAGTCAATCACATTGCTTCTCCATAAACTTGGTCACACCTATGTGCATGTATATTAATTTATCTAATCCTTACAACCACCCTCAAGGTCCATACTTGTCTTAGCTCAGACTGCTATAATGAAAGACGATAGACTGGATGCCTCAAACAATACATATTTATTCCTCACAGTTCTGGAGGCTGGGAAATCCAAGATGAAGGCACTGGCAAATTCAGTTCCTGGTGATTCTCTCTTCTTGGCTTGCGCATAACTGCCTTTTTTGCTGTTTGCTTGCCTGACCTTTCCTTGGTGCATGGAGAGAGAGCAAGCTCTCTTACATCTCTCTGATAAGAGCACTAAGCCCTTATGGCCTACTTACCCTCAAGAGACTGTGTCTTCAAACACCATCACACTGCAGGTCAGAGCTTCAACAAATGAATTTGGTGATGGGGGAACACAACTCAGTCTATAGCAGTGCTATAGGGGAGCCTCAGTTTCCTCACTGGGGTAATGGGGACAGTAATTACACATTCTAGGGGGTTGAGAGCATTGTATCTAGAACATAGTCACCTATCAATGAATGTTAGCTACTAGTTTTATTGTTATTATTGATACTCAATAAAATACAGCTCTTCTAGAATATGAAAAAACAACAACAACAACAAATGTGACAGTGATGCAGTGAGCACCATGCTGTTACTCAATGGAAAACATGCTTCAGATCCAGGTATCATGACTTCTAAATCATGTTCTCGCAGATCGCATGTGAGACCACCAACCTCTCTTGCTTTAAAACTCAAAGATGAACAGGGCTTCCTAATTAAGCCCCTTCTTTTTTTTTTTTTTTTTTTATTTATTTCTGAGAGAGAGAGAGAGACAGTGTGAGCAGGGGAGTGTCAGAGAGTGAGAGTCAGAATCTGAAGCAGGCTCCAGATTCTCAGCTAGCTGTCAGCACAGAGCCTGACATGGGGCTCAAACCCATGAACCGTGAGATCATGACCTGAGCTGAAGTAGGACGCTTAACCGACTGAGCCACCCAAGCGCCCCTGAAGCCCCTTCTTTTGAAGCCAAACAAGATGAATTCTGGTCTCTGAACTCTTGGTCCATCAAGTTCACGCTGTTAGATGAAAGATTAAAAGATGGGAGAATGGACCAGCAACCAATGATTGATTAATTCAGAGTTTTCAGCATTGGAAGGGATCAGGGGGTACCAGGGGCTGACATGGCATTGGATAAGTGTTCTAATCCTAGGAGACCATGGTCAAGCTGTTTGACCCTAAGTTTCTCCATCCATCCAATTTGTGGTTTCCCCAGATGGAAAGCAGGTACTACCATATGTACTTGCGGCGTTACTGTGCGCTTCTGCTGTGATAATGTGTGTGTAATACCTTGTACAGCATCCAAGAACCAACCCTAGAGAAGTGGGCCAGTGAGTGGAAGGACAGTAAAAGCAGAAAGAGATAGAGAGGGGAGATCACTGCCCCCAAGAAGCTATTGCAGGGCTTAGAATCACCCAGACACTCATCCCACAGCAGGGTGAGGGTATTCGTTGGGATAGAGGGACCATCTTGGGGAACCAACTGCCAGGAAAAATTCTCTTTATAGGGTCTTGTCTCGCACAGACCAGGAGGGACCAGACAGACCGTGTGGCCACAGTGCAAAGGGATATGTAAAAGTGACTCATAACAGAAGCAACTGATGTTGTTAAAAAAAAAAAAAAAAAAAAGACTGAGGCCACGACCGTTGGGATTCGGGAAGTCCCCCTTTCCTAGTGTTATATCCGTGTCAGGGAAATGGCTGAGAATTACCACCTTCTAACTCTTGGGGCTTTAGGGAAGTTTTTATTGCAAAGTGGCCTCTCCCCCACCAGATTTCCTGATAAGAACAGTAATTCGCATTTACTGGGAGATTGCAATGTGCCCGGCCTCTTCTAAGTGCTTTTTATTTATTAGCTTCTGACGACTCCATGAGTGAGACATGATTATTATCTCCTTTTCTGCAGATAAGGAAATGAAGGCACAGAGAGGTTAAGTAAGTTGCTCAAAGTCATGCGGTTAATCATTGGCAGAGCTGGGGTTTGAATCGAGTTTGTTTCATTCCATAATCCTCATTGATAACCACTAATACTACTACCTCCTATGACCCAGAAGGATCCAAAGAATATGGAGTTCTTTAAGCCTTAATGCCAGCTCCACACTGAAGGGGCAGGGGAATAGCACAGATGAGTTCTGTAGCTCTCACCTAGGAGAGGTGTCTGTGATGTCAGGTCTAAATCTGGAAGGATGGCACTATGGAAAAACCGGTGTAAACCACGAAACTTCCTAGGGCCTTCCTTTCCTCATACATAAGATTAGGTAAATTCAGGTCCCTCCCCACTGTAAGACCTGTAAGGATTCTGTGCTTGCTCACAACAGTGGTCTGGGCTCTGGCAAACCGGTTTGGGAGCCCGTTTCTTAGTTTGGAGCTGGAAGGCCTCCTCTATGAAGTCTAGAGTGTCTAACTGCAAATAAAGCACCCCCTCTTCTTTACAGCACCCACAAAAGCAAGTTGGGAATCTATATTTTCAGAAGCATCTTTCCCAGTTAGAAATGATGACTTTTGTAAATGGCATCCAGATAAAAAGGAGAAAAAGTTATTGGCTGGCCCTCTAGACAGGGCACTTGAACCCTAGATTAAACCCTCTTCCAGAGACAAATGCAAAATGGTGCTGGGTGTGCCCTTGGCATTGCGGGTGATGAGATGCTTCAGAAAGAAAGCCTCCTGTTATTTCATTATCTTTTCTTGGCGCCCTTTTTTTTTGAATAATGTATTTTCCAGTCCATGGTGAAATGTCCAGGCGTCTGAAGCTTAATGTCATTTGGAATCTGTTGATTTGTTCCCCCGATGTCCACTCAGTTGGGTCTGGATATTTGCACTTCTGAGTTCTCATGTTAACATTGGCAGTGGTCTCCTCAAACTCTTGCCACAGAGTCCAGATGTCTCTGGGGCTCACAGAAACATAGAGGCGTCAGCAGAAATGAATGTGGTGATATTCCCATGGGAGGATTAAGGGCAATTTGTTTTCCTTCTTTATTATTTCCTTGCCTGCTTTACAGCCACGCTTACCTTAGTTGAGCCTTGTGATACATTAGGCGAGTTGGCTATCATGCTGAGGATGAGGCGCCAATCCATGGATTTATAAACTTCCATTACAGTGCAGTAGAATCCAAACAGACCCCAATTCCTGGGTCTCGGTACTCTTGATTTCTTGAAAAAGAAAAGAACTTTTATGACCGCTGGGAAAAATTGGAGCTTCACGTTGCGTGCCAGGGATGGATTTTCCAAGTCCTCTTTCTCCTGTGACCTGGTCTTCTCTGTTCTCTCAGCCTCACGGCCACACTGGCGAGCGTCGGTGCGGCCAGTATCCCCAGCGCGGGCCTCGTCACCATGCTGCTCATCCTGACGGCTGTGGGCCTGCCGACGGAGGACATCAGCCTGCTGGTGGCTGTGGACTGGCTGCTGTGAGTACCTGCGGATGGGGCTCTGCTGGGGGGGGTGTGTACTGCCTCCCAGATGAAAGGTTGCAGCCAAGGTCTTAGCCAGTCCCCATGACAACTTCCTCCTTCCTCTCCTCCCTTCTTCCCCTTAACATTCACTGAGTGCCTATTGCGAACCAAAGAAGAAGAAAGAATCCTTGAGGGCCTCACAGTCTAGGGGAGGAATCAGATATTATAATACAAAGTTTAAAGCATCACAATAAGGAACCCGCTACTGATGCTGGCAGAGGATCTCAACACAATGTTAATGTCAAGGGAAGAAAAGAAAAGGGAGTGTACGCTGTATGATCCCATTTATATGAAGCCCTAGGAAAGGCAGGATAATCTCCAGCAATAGGAAGAGCTTGGTGGTTGCCCGGGCCTGGAGGGGGTAAGAGACTAACTGGGAAGGGGAGCAGGGAAATCACGAAGGGTGGTAGAGATGCTCCGTAGGCACAGGCACGGACAGGTGTCTACATTTGTCAAAACTCATCAAACGGTGCACTTAAAATGGATATATTTTACTGTATGTAGATTATATGTCAATAAAATAGATTAAAAAATAGCATACACATATAGAAGGATAGTGATAGAAACGGGCACCCTCCCCAGTTCCCGGAGGAATCAGGAAATAATGAAAATGGCAACTGAATTTGCATGTGTACCGTGTGCCAGCCATGGCACCAGGCACTTTATGTCTTATGCTCTTGAACAACCCTCAAGTTTTGGTATTATCACTCTTGTACAGGTGGGGAAACTGAGGTGTAGGGAGGCAAAGGACTTGAGAGTGAACGGAGACTTGACTCTAAGTTGGCTGGGTTTGGGAGGCCACCGTGTTCTCCATCATGGCTATGTTCAAGTTTCCAAAGGCAGTGATCGCTGAACTGAATCATAACTGGTAGGGAGATGTAGATAGAGAAGGAAAGATGACATTCCAAGGCCATGTACAAAGACACTGTGGCAGCAAACAGTGGTGGGACCAGGTGTGGTTTAGCATTTCTGGAGCGCAGAACGGGAGACAGGGATTGGTGAGCCGTGGGGCAAAAAAAAAAATGGATAGCTTGTACGGCCATGCAGAGAAATTTGAGCTTGGCTGTGTACACATAGCCCAGATACCTTTCCTAGTATGTTTATCAGTCAAGGGCATTTTCCAAATGTAGGACACTCACTGCCCATTCACACAGGTGGGCAAGTCTGGCCAGAAGGTCCCCAATAGGGAGATGGGAGTCAGTCTTGCCAAGGGCCCACTCGGCCTCTCATGTTCTGTGGGGTATACACTGATACTTCATGTCCAGTCTTGGAGCTAAGTGACAGGGGCTGGGGAATGCTATTGGGTTCAATGTCAAGAGGCGCAGAGCAACAAGTGCTGGTGCAGGGCTCCAAGGCCAAAGTGCACACACACTTTTAAAAACTGCTCCACATGGTGGAGAAACGGGCACCCTCCTACACTGTTGGTGGGAATGTAAACTGGTACAGCCCCTCTGGAAAACAGTGTGGAGGATCCTCAGGAAACTAACAGTAGAACTCCCCTATGACCCAGCAATAGCACTGCTAGGAAATTACCAAAGGGATACAGAAATGCTGAGGCATAGGAGCACGTGTACCCCAATGTTCATAGCAGCACTCTCCACAATAGCTAAAACATGGAAAGAGCCTAAGTGTCCATCAACAGATGAATGGATCAAGAAGATGTGGTTTATCTATACCATGGAATACTACATGGCAATGAGAAACAATGAAATCTGGCCATGTGTAGCAACGTGGATGGACCTTGAGGGTGTTATGCTGAGCGAAATAAGTCAGGCAGAGAAGGACAAATATCATATGTTTGCACGTATAGGAGGATTAGGAGGAACTTGACGGAGGAACAAGGGGGAGAAGAAGGGAGAAAATGGTGGGGGAAAGGGAGAGAGGCAAACCATGAGAGACTCTTGAATGCTGACAAAAACTGAGGACTGATGGAGGGGGGGGGGGGGATGGGCACGGAGGAGGGCACTTGTGGGGATGAGCACTGAGTGTTATGTGGAAACTAATTTGACAATAAACTATTTGTAAAAAAAAAACAAAAAAAACTTTAAATATCCAAAAAAATAAAAAATAAAAACTGCTCCACATGGTAGTGGCAGTGTTTCTGACATCTATCAGCATAGATGTTCACAGCCAGAAGCCATCTTTAATGGACTCGAGTTTCCAGCACGCTCAAATGGCAGTTCCTTCCCCCTACATTCACCCTTCCAAAGAGAAAAATGTGCACGTGGCTGAAGGGAAGGACTCTGGGAAGCTAGGAGGAAGCCTGGCCTCTCCATAGAACTTGTCTGCTGTTACGGTTTAGGTGAGAATGGAGAAGTGGCTCCCTGGATGTAATCTGTTCCCTTAGGGAGGGCTGTGAGGAAGGTCGTGGATCTTCCTGACTGGCTCTTTCATCATCAGAGATATGCTCTAGAAATACCTTTAGTGGGAAGGTGAAGAGTAAGCAAAATAGCCTCTTATCTGTCTCTGCCAGGCTCTCTCAAGGGGTGGTGGCTGGGTCCTCCCTGCTAGAGTGGTTGTTCTCAGTGCCTTTGCCGGCCCCAAGAGCTGCCTTCCTCACAACGTCTGTTCAGACAAGACCGTCATGGCGGCTGCAGTACAGTGGGCGGAAGGATTGGGAGGAATGAGATCAAGGAGGTAAAGGAGTGGGGTAAGCTTCAGTGAGGAGGAGGACAAAGGGGAAATGCAGACATTTTCAATAGTTTAGGGTCAGTAGGAGCTCAATAATATGTGTGCTCAATTTAACCACAGAGTTGCTGTGTGTAGGGGCCTCTCCACACAGGAAGAAAGACAGAGGAAGCTATTAAAATTAAATCTGCTTCCCCTGTGACTTTGACTTACCAAGGCCTCTGCCTCTTTGTTCCTTGAGCCTCCTGAACCGGTGTATCCTCGAGCTACCCTAACCTGCTGTGACTGCATTGCCTAGTCTCTTCTTGGGTTTGTTCCTGAGGCTGGATTCCACCATTAGAGGTTTATCTTTTTAAAAAATTATCATTACAGAGGCTGCCTTCCCTCATTATAATATAAATGCCTTACTTTGAGTGGGATAAAAAATGCATTAATATCATCAGGAAATGAAGAAAGGGAGATGACAATTGGTGGGTACCGCCATGTTCTTTACATCTGTTAGCAATTAAACCCTAAAGAGCCCTGGGGCGCCTAGGTGACTCAGCCGGTTAGTGTCTGACTTTGGCTCAGGTCATGATCTCGCAGTTTGTGGGTTCGAGCCCTGTATCAGGCTCCTGCTGACAGCTCAAAGCTTGGAGCCTGCTTCAGAGTCTGTGCCCCCACTCTCTCTGCCCCTCTCCCCCTTCATGCTCTGTTTCTCTGTCTCTGTGTTTGTCTCTATCTCTGTCTCTCTCTCTCAAAAACTGACTTGTAGCAAATAAGAAAAATCTCCATAAGGCAATCAGATTTCTGAGCAGACACATCATAAACCAAGAGAGTGAGATTATATATTCAAAGTGCTGAAAGAAAAAAAATTGCCAGTAAAGAATACTGTACAAAACTGTCCTTCATACATAAAGATAGAAATTTTCCCAGACAAACAGAAGCTGAAGGAGTTCAGTGCCAGTAACAGGTCTCACAAGAAATGCTAAAAGTCCTTCAACTTCAAATGAAAAGACACTGAACAACATAATGCATATGAAAGTATAAACTCATTAGTAAAGGTAAACACATAGATAATCTATATTACTCAAATGGTGGTGAAAAATCACTTTTAATTCTAGTATAAAAGTTGAAAGATGCGGGGCACCTGTGTGGCTCAGTCAGTTATGTGCCCGACTTTGGCTCAGGTCATGATCTCACAGTTTGTGGGTTTGAGCCCTGTGTCAGGCTCTGTGCTGAACGCTTGCTCAGAGCCTGGAGACTGCTTTGGATTCTGCGTCTCCCTCCCTCTCTGACCCTCCGCTTCTCATGCTCTGTCTCACTCAGTCTCTCAAAAATAAATAAATGTAAAAAAAAAAAGTTGAAAGACAAGTGTATTAAAAATAACTAAAAATAAAAATATAGTAAATATAAAAATAAACAAATGAATAAACATTTAAAAAATCCCTAAAGGGCCCGGGGGGGTGTTTCACAGATGAGGAAACCGGGAATCAGAAGGGTTAAGTGTCTTGCCTACGGCACTGGAGAGCTTTACCCCACCTGACAGAGCTTCCTGCTTAGAACCAAGGAGATGTAGCAATGGGCAGAAGCAAAGAGTCCATAGAAAGGTTAGGGAAGACAGACCTATTAGGGTCACCTCTGGTTTTACATACTAACCAGGGGATTTTTCATTTGACCTGTTTTTTCCTCCTCTCAAGATTAAAACAAAAGAGCAGAAAAAGCCTAAGTGGGGACAAATAGGGTACAATCAAGGTCTCAGCTACTCTTAGACCATTGTGGGCCCTGGTCTTCTTGGCAGTCATTTGCTTCCAAGCCCGTTGGATGAGAGTCATTTCATGAAACATCCAAGACCCTGCCCACTTCTGACCTAAATGTCAGCGAATGGAATAGGGGGGCTGGGTCCTCCCTGATCACCCCACGCTAGTGCTCTCATATTCATGCTTGCATGGAGAGCAGGGAGTCCTAACTCCACGGCGGACACGTGTCAGCAGAAGGGAGTTGGCCGAACCCAAAACTGATGGTACATTTGGATTACCTATATTGGTGAAACCGGATGTGAGAAAACTCGATCCCAGGCTGGCCCTGGAAAGGAAGGAAGAAATGAAGAGCTGTTCTCTGGTTCTGGGGTCTGATCTCAGGTGCAGGGGGTGCATGTAACTAGAGAAAGGAAAGCCTGGATCTGAGCTCTGTGCTTACCCCCTGGAGGACTTTGCACAAGCTACTCTGTGGACCTCCCCTGTGTCATGTGCACAATGGGGATAAGAACTTGTCAGCTCAAGAGCAGAGTCTAGATCCAATGCCCTTGAGTGCCCTTCTGGTTTTAAGACCCGGACTAGGTTTCTGCT